CCCCATTCCCTGGCAGCCCCTGCGTGGTGTGGGCAGGATCCAGTGCCCGCTGCAGGGAGCTGCAGATTTTTTTCCACCGATTCCAGTGGCTCCTGGACCGCTTTGCCCTTTCCAGTGCCCAAAAAACTATCCAAACAATGCGTTGTGTGAACATTATCATGCTAATCCAAACACTGGCAGCCCAAATGCCACCGGAGGGATCCTGTGTTCTCATTCCAGAGGAATTTAAACGGGGCAGCCTCAAACTCCTGGAAGCACATCCAGGGTGGGTGTTGTGACAGGTGGGACTCACTCGGGGCTCTGTGGTTGCTCTGATAAAATGATTATTCCCTGGCAGTGCTTGGGGGAATTAATGAGGGCAGCTCGTGGCTCTTGGCCTGGTTTCCTTTGGCTGAGCTGTGAGCAGCTCACAGTTGGGTTTTCTTGGGGAACATATGGCATTATTTTCCTCCTGCTTCCCTCTCTTCCCCAATCCCCTCTGGGGAATCGCTTCTCTAAGTCTGCCCTGTGCAGTTTAATGGCATTTTCTGAGAAGTAGATTTTACTTGAAGGTTTGTTAGAAGAATTTTTTTTCTTTTTTTCTTTTTTTTCTTTTTTCTTCTTTTTTTTTTTTTTAATTAATTTAATTGGTATCAGGGGTTTGTCCCCTTGTTTTAAAAAAGAGGCGACCCCTGAAGTCCTCTGTGTCCCACAGCAGCTGAGGTAGGAGATGCCCCAGCCACAAAGCAGAATCCCAGAATGGTTTGGGTTGGAAGGGACCTTAAAGGTCATCTCATTCCACCCCCTGGACACCTTCCACTAGCCCAGGTTGCTCCAAGCCCTGTCAAATATCTATTTATTTCTTTCTTTTCCCCAAAACATTCCAGCCGTCCAGGTGTAGACTTTTCCTGGGGGGATGGATTCCCAATTTGAGACTCAAATTTACACCTCCCATCTTTATGCTGTGGCAGCACCAGCAGTTTCTGACCTCATCACCCACCGAACACGAGGTCTGCAGGGAGCAACTTGGGAAGCAGGAAAGCTGGGGAGACTCCTGCAGGCTGGCCTGAATCCCCAAAACCCTCCAATCCTTCAGGAACTTGATCCTGCACCACGTGGCTTGCTCAGAACCACCAGCTATTTTCCCCAAGGGATCCAGCTGTGGGCTGGGGATGTCGTGGTGCAACGTAAACCCTGTCCCAAACTGCAGTCAGGATGTGGCCAGGTGCATGTGAAACCTGGAATCTGGGATGCAGTCCTGGACCACACAGTTTAGGGTAACCACAGACCCTCTCTGAGCAGGTTTTTTCCTGCTGGGAGCTCCTGTGTGGAGCCACAGCCCCTTCCTCTTGGTGATGTCCTCAAGGACCATCCCATACCCTTCCTGCTCTGCCTCCTGCTCCACAGGCTCCAGGACAGCTGTGGGCACATGGTTTATTGTCCTGAGCCTCCCAGCACCTCATAACTCCTTGGAAGCCCAACCTAAGGCCAGAAGGGAGCAGAAAAATCACATTTTTGTCTGAAATGTGGGTGCCCACAAGGCCTCCTCCTGCTGGTCACCCTCCCTTGCTCCGTCCTCACTGAGGAGGTGCCCGAGTTGAAAGGCGAGGAAGGCAAAAAAAAAAAAAAGCCTTGCCCACAAATTGCAGGTTTCCACTGGTGTTCCATGGAACCTCAGGGAGCTTATTTACAGCAGCTGAGGTTGGAGGGAGGAAATCAGAGCTTGGGAGCAGCTCAGAAAGCCTCAGGCAACTTTCAACAACCCTGCAGCCCCCCAGGAGCGCTGGGAAGGGATGGGGAGAGCTCAGAGGATCCTGAAGGGCCAGAGAAGCTGTGGCTGCCCCATCCCTGGAAGTGTCCAAGGCTTGGAACAACCTGGGCTAGTGGGAGGTGTCCCAGCCCATGGAAATAGGTGGTCTTTAAGGTCCCTTCCAACCCAAGCCATTCTGGGATTCCCTGAAATGTGCTGGGCTGATCCTTCCGGAGACCCTGGAGGTGCCACAATAAATCCCAAAATTCAGAAGGGGCAGAGCTTTCACGGGAGGGAAAACCTGCCCTTGAAGAGTCAGTGGGGCTCATCCTGTATTTATTTACGACATCCCTTCTCCTGTATTTATTTACATCCACGACCAGCTGCAAAAACCACCTGCAAGAGGCTTTCCCCAGGGGAGATGTGAGGAGCAGGCACGACTTACCCCAGCCAAATAATGTGAATCCCCAAAGATATTTCTTCTCTGAGAAAAATGCCATGAAGATGAGGCTGTGGAGATAGAGCCCTTCCACCAGGATCCAGTAGTAATTGGTTGCCAGGAAGTAGAGGAAGAAGGTAACAGCTACTTTGCAGCCCACCTGCAACGACCACAGAAGGACAGGAGGGTGTGTGAGGAACGTGGGGGGTGAAATTCCTGTTGGCAGAAAATGTCAATAATATGTCCCTTGTGAATAAAAAAGGTTTTTTTTTTTTTGTATCCTGGCACAGCTCTTATGCTGATCCTTTGTCAATCCAAATGGATGTGCACATCTTATATCCATATATCCATGTATTTGTATGTCAGTAAGATATGGACACGTTACACTCATTTTCTTTTACAAAGTGAGTTAAAACAGAAGAACCAATTAAAAATTCCCTTCTAAATGGGATTAATAATCACTTTTATATTTATATATTTATGATTTATATGTGATAAATGGGATATTCTATATTTCCATTTTATATTTATAAAAACACGCCGTGGACCCCCACACGGGGAGCAGCAGGCAATAATTGCAAAGCTCCCACTTGCCTTGGAAACAAAAGAAATAACACTAATTGTTGCCTTCATCACTTATTTGCCTTTCAATCCGGAAGAATGGGAGATGCCATTAAAATGCTAATATTCAAAGAGTGCCATTTATTATCCCAATTATTCCTCTGAATGAGGCCAGCCCAAGGAGAAACACAACACAATGCAGTGAAACTTTGGGGTGCTTCCCAAAAAGTGAGTGTTTTGAAGTGTGCTGAGTTCTCAGCCCGTTAATGAGATGGATCTTGGAATGGGAAGGAAACGCAACACCAGATTTCCATGTGGGATGACTCGGATGCCCAGTGGGACACTCCACATGCACTGATTGTATTCAGGGGGTTGCTGGCGGGTCCCTGGTGGGGGCAGAAGCTGCGAAATACTTGAGAAGCCAAATAAATGTGCAGGCAGGAAGTTTATCCCAGAATCCCTGAGGCTGGAAAAGCCCTCCAAGGTCACCGAGTCCCCCCCTGTGCCCGATGCCCACCTTGTCCCCAGCCCAGAGCACTGAGTGCCATTCCAGGCCTTCCTGGGACACCTCCAGGGCTGGGCACTCCAAACCTCCCTGGGCAGCCCCTGTCAATGATTAACAACCCTCTCCAGGAGGAATTTTTCCCCAATATCCAACCTGCCCCTCCCCTGGCACAGCCTGAGGCCGTTCCCTCTCCTCCTGTCCCTGTTCCCTGGGAGCAGAGCCCGACCCCCCCCGGCTCCCCCCTCCTGTAAGGGAGTTGCAGAGCCAGAAGGTCCCCCCTGAGCCTCCCAGTGGAAAATCAGCCAGTTGTGGTGGGAGAAGAGCACGGTGGAGCACAGGCACTCCTGGGATAGTCAGGAACGTTCCCGGAGCCGTAAAATTCAGGGCACAGCAGGGGAGTGTTGAAAATAGAAGTTTTAGATGGGCATCAAAACATCAACCACGAGGAACAGCTCTTCCTTAGCTCAGGGGTCAGGAAATCCCTCTGGATTAAGGGATGGTGGGAAGGGGTGGGACAAGGCTGGGTGGAAAATCCACCCTGAAAAAAAAAAGCAAAGTGCTGACCAGACAGGACAGAGACACGAAGATCAGAGAGCCACCTGCTCCGGGGGGGGGAGTACTCACAAACTGTGACTTATCCGCTGGAGGGGCTTCAGTGATGGATTTCAAGTCTTCCTCTGAGATCCTCTCCATCTCCTCCAGGGCTGAGCCCGAGTACAGGACGGCGTCCTTGACGAAGATGCTCATGGCCCTCAGCATGAAGGACACGAACAGGTGCATGTGGATGTAGTTTCTAGTGCAGTGCAAACGTCTGCAGGGGAGACAGAGAGGGGTGGGGGGAAGTTTAGCCCAGCTGGGGGACGATCTCGGGGTCGTTCTGTGCCCCCCAAAGAGCTCCAGCTCCTCTGAGCCCCGCGGTGCCACCGCCGCTCATCCTGTACCCGGGTTCACTCCTGCTCCAGGGGGCTCCTGGAATCATGGGATCGTGGAATGGGGTTGGGTTGGAAGGGACCTTAAAGGTGATTTCATTCCATCACCCTGCCGCGGGCAGGGACACCTTCCACTAGCCCAGGTTGCTCCAGCCTGGCCTTGGACACTTCCAGGGATGGGGCAGCCACAGCTTCTCTGGGAAATCCATTCCAGGGTGTCCCCACCCTCACAGGGAAGAATTCCCTCCTAAAATCTGCTCTAAACCAACCCTGCTGCAGTTGGAAGCCATTCCCCCTTTCCCATCCCTCACAGACCCTGCGGCCACTGCAAACCTGGCAGAGGTTCCTGTGAAGGGCTGATTTTTGTGCCCAAATTTAGCAGCAGCTACAGGAGTAACTCAAGTGTGTTGGGTGTTGTCCCTGTTTTCCCTGTTCCCTGTTAGAATCCTTATTTTTTGCTTGCTCCACCCCAGCCACGGCAGCAACGACCCCACAACTGCTGATTGTAAAGCGCTTTAAGATCCTTTTTGGGGGAAAAGCTGGATGGTGAGAGGTCAGTGGGGTTGGACCCACACATGAGAGGTGCATTTGGGAACCAGGGATCATGGTTTTTTAGGGAGAAGGAGGAGCTAACTGATCTCTTGGGGTCCCCTCTGTCCCCTAGAGCTCTGTTGCCTGGCTGGCCATCCATGGATTTATGGATGGATGAACATCCTCTGAAATCCCCAGCTCCAAGGATGGGAATAAAAACGAAAAGGTGTGGTTTTGTCTCCCTTGGAGGATATTCTGACAGTAATGACAGTTGTTCTCTGGGCTATTGTAATCCAAACTATACCAGGTGGAACTGAGGAGGTAGAAGGGAAGATGGGCTTTGTTCCCTGCATTTGCAGTGGAGTCAGTGAATCTCTGGACTGTGTGTGATCTGGGATAAAACCTGGCTTGATCCCTGCTGCTGCTTTGATCCCTGGGATAAAGATGTTCTCCACGTGGCCTGGGCTGTAAATGAAGTGCTCTGAGAACAGGAACAAAGAGAGAAAGTGGGAATACTCCTGAGCTCCTGAAACTGGGAATGCTCTCAGATCCATGGACGTGGAATATTTTAACAACCTTGCCAATGTCCAGTGGGAAACGAAAGGGAGGGAGAAGGCTGGGAGACCAGGAGTGTGGGGACAGGGATAGGGGCAGGGATGCATCACTGCAGTGTCCCCAGGAGGGGTCTGCAGCCCCCTCTGCCCTGTGTGTGTCCCAAATTCGGGCTCTGCTGTCCAAGCACATCCCCCTGAGCCCCTTTTGCTCCCTGCAGAGGGGCCTGAGCCCTTTCAGAGCCAAGAGCCACCCGTTTTATTCCCAGTGCTTCGTGTGCAGGGCTCGGCTCCAGCTCCCTGTGCAGACCCCACGTGGTGTTTCCAGCACAGGGAGGGTTTCCCCTCTCAACCCTTGCCTGTGTCCTGCTGTTTCCCAGTAGAAGATGTGACCAGACACCCAAGGGAAGCAGATCTGGGGCTTGGGGGTTGCCAGTCAGCCCCCTGCTCTATTTCCAGGAGAAATCCCTGGATGTGGTGACCCCTTCCATCCCTCCCATCCCAAGCTCTCTGTGCCAGCGAGAATCCCAGAATCCTACAGCGCTTTGGGTTGGAAGGGACCTGAAGGATCAGCCAGTGCCACCCCCTGCCGTGGGCAGGGACACCTCCCACTATCCCAGGTTGCTCCGACCTGGCCTTGGACACTTCCAGGGATGGGAGATGCATCCTGAGCTCTGAGGAATGGATGCTGTGGGCTCAAAGTGGTGTTTAGGGGTCTCCATGCCTTGGCAGAGGGTGGTGGAAAGGCAGGGGAGACCAGCAGGGTTAGGAGGGTGAACGGGGGTTTTTGGATCCCTGGGAACAGCAGCAGGGGGGGAGGTTGCAGGAATCAGCCTGGGATGGTGGGGGTTCCCTGCAGCTGGTCTATCCTTCGTGGATATTTGGGTTTGGAGTGGAACTTCCCTCAGGAAACCTGAACTGTCTCAAAAAATCACCATCTACATCTGAGCCAGGTGGGGAACAGGGGCAGAAAACCCCGGAGGGTTTTCCGAGGGGGGACCAACCTCTTCCTGGAGACTCCCATCTCCCCCTTTGCTACAGAGGGTCTGGAAAACTCCTCTGTGGGGAAGAGGAGGGAGTTCCAACACCCCACCCGCCATCCCCCAGGAGGTTTGAGCTAAGGGACACTAACACAGCCCAAATCCCAGCCGGAACCGCTCGTGGATCGCCACCCCACGCTGATCCTGGGGGAGAGCCCGGGGCTTTTCCCCTGAGGTAAAACCAGAGCCGCCTACCTGAAGTATCCCAGGATAAGGACAGCAACTGTGAGGGATCCCAGGGAGATGGAGTATCCAACAGTATAAATCAAATAGAGGCGATCAAAGACCTCCTGCAGCAGAAACGATGGAAAAAATAGCGTCGCATTAGAACGCGCCCTCCTGCCCTGGGGACACCCCTGGGGGTGGGGATCCCTGGGAATCACAGCCTTTTGGGCACCTCTGGAGGTGCTGCCTGCCATTTCCTGAGGTGGGATTGTTTGGGGGGGGGGGTTAGGGGGTGGGTTGATCCCACACCTGGGAGCTCCGCAGCGTTTTCAGCCCAAAGGAGCCCAAAGCGCTTTACAAACTCTCGGCCCCATCTCCAGAGATCTCTCGGATCTCCACGAGGGCAAAGCCTTGGCTGGACCAAAACTGCCCGTCAGCCTGGGATTTCTGCTGGAATTGTACACTTTTAGCCGTGGCTGGCTGGTGCTCGTCCAGCCTGGTGGAACGTCACCCGCCCCAGGAAACACGGAGCGGGGGGATAAACTTTGGCTCTGGGATACGAGGGGGGGGAAAAAAAAAATCACCTGAATTTATTTTTCCCTTTTTCAAATCCCTCTGCCTGTGGTTATCCGACCCAGACACAACTCGAGCTTGCCAAAGTCCCGTTGGAAAAGGTCCTGTCACAGGAGAGCTCGTAGTAATTAATCCTCTAAGAGGTTTGAGTTCTCTTGGCTCTCTGTATTTTTTAGAGCTGGGCTCAGAAACCCTGAGGTTTCCATTAAATATCAGGATGTTTTCCTTCTCCCTGTGCCGGGCCCTGCAGCTCCACTCAGGGATTCCTGAACCCCCCACCTGGAAAGGGTTAAAATTCCTGCCACCGGCCCACTTCGCACTGCCTTTAACTGCCTGAAATTAGAAATAAACCCCAAAGAAACCGACCAATTCAGCATCTTCCTCCTCCCTCCTCCGCTGCCTCCCGCCTTTCCCTCACCCCACCCACCGGGATGCGGGAGCAGCAGCGGGAACGTGGAATGACAGCCCTGACTCGGCTTTGGAGGCTTGAAAAGCTGGCCTGGAATGTGAAACCTCAGCCCTATTACATCAGAATCCCCAGATAGGGGAATGTTTCTCTGTGGTTTCCACTGGTGGAGTGGGGTGCTTGCCAATATTAATTTCGTGTGTGTGTGTGTGTGTCTGGGTGTATTTATATCTATATTTTTATATATGGATGTCTGTCTATCTATCTGTGCAGGCAGCAGGCACTGAAAAGCCAGTGGGAGTAGATTTGAAAGCTTTGGGGGTGAAAACAGCAATTTTCCTGCTGCCAAGCTGGAATCCCCTTTGAACTGGAAAACATTCGCCCTCCAGAGTTGAAAATAATAATAATATTAATATTATAATAATAATAATGATGATGATGATGATGAAATCCTGCTCCACGTTTAGGATTCCTGGGAATTCAGCAGTCCCTATGCCCAGCTGGACAAGAGGGTCCCTGAGCCCCAGTGAGCAACTGAACCAGAAGGATCCACGTTCCTGCCGGACAACGGCGGCGTTGTAGCGGGAATGGCCTTGGGAAGAGCCTCCTGATTGGCTGGCAGGACGTTTTGGGAGGCTGTGGTTAATCCCTCTGATTAACCACAGGGCCCCTCTTTGAAAGGCTGAGGAGCCAGGAGTGCCAAGACACACACAGATCCAGGGCGACCAGCACGGTGCTGTCCAATCCTGCCCAGGAATTGCTCTGGGAAAGGGGGAATTCTCTGGATGGAGGGCTCAGATCCTCAGGGAAAAGCCTCAGGAGCAAAGGGTTGAGGTTCTGCCCAGGGCAGGTTCCCAGGGCTTTGTCCTCAGGAATCAGCATTCTGCCAGCAGGGGAAAAGGGGGATTCAAAGATCTACATCCCTTGGCAGGGGTGGGGCACAGGGAGGGGAGCCAAGCACGGTTAGGAGGGTGAAGGGGGTTTTTGGATGTCCCAAAAACAGCAGTGTGGGGAGGTTGGAGGAAAATCAGCCTTCAGCTGCCCTGCAGGGGGGGAAAATAAAAACCCTAAAGGCAATCCCACACATCTCCCATCACCAGGGAGGTCCCAGCTGGGTGGAAACCACGATGCTGAGTCAGGGAAGGTCCTCCAGGTACCAAAATATTGAGTCATCTGCCAGCTGCAACAACCACCTCCAGGGGCTGGGATCCCTCTGCTGGGAGCTGAGAGGGACAGGAGTTGGAATCATTCCCAGAAGGTCACAAAGGTCATGATGGCCAAGCCCTGGACATGACCTGGAGCTCCCCAGTCTCAAGTTCAGCGCTTCTAAGAGCTCTGATGTCTCCTAGAAATCCACCCTGAGGACACACTGACCATCACTGGTCATCCACTGACCTGTTGGAAGGGGCAAAACTCTGGCTTTGCCACAGCTTTAGACCCTGGTTTGAGAAGTGTGATGCTTTAACCAGTGTAATTTAATTTAATTTATCATTTAACTGAAGTGTTCAAGGCTTGGAGCAACCTGCTCTAGTGGAAGGTGTCCCTGCCCATGGCAGGGGGTTGGAATGAGATGAGCTTTAAGGTCTTTCCCAACCCAAATCAACCCAGGAATCCATGATTCTATGAATTTGGTTCCTTCACTCTTTCAGCTGAGGACACAAAGAGCTCTGGAAAATAGAAAAAGCTGAAAATAAACTAATGGAAAAACCAGAAGGACAAAACTTCAGTGTCTGGGATTCCAGGGGCTGGGATTGTCAGTAAAATATTATAAATATTCTAAAGCCCATATCAGAGCACCAACATTAGGGAACATCAGCCTCAGAAGCCTCGAACATCCCCCTTTGCCCACCCCATCCATCCCTGGAATGATAGAACTGAGGCTGGAAAAGCCCTCTGAGCCCAACCATTGACTGCCAAGGCCACCACTGCCCCATGTCCCCAAGTGCCACATCCCCAGGGCTTTGAAATGCCGGGGCTGGACAGCCCTTTCCAGGAAGAAATGTTCCCAATATCCAACCAGACCCTCTTGAGGCCGTTCCCTCTCCTCCTGTCCCTTGTCCCCAGGGAGCAGAGCCCCCCCCCCAGCTGTCCCTCCACGTGTCTCAGGTCATTTTTAGTCCCCCCAAGTGTTCTGCTTGGCTTTGAGGTGCTTTGACGAAGGGGATGAGTTTCCTCCAGGTCCAAGGAATTGTATCTGGAATTCCCATGGGGTTGTTTCCCAAACCTGAGGACATCTCATCTAATTCCAGGCCTGAACACCATCTCTGTCTCAGCAGCTGGATGAAACCTTCAGGGTTTGGGTGTCCTGGTCCCTCCCAATGTCCCAGGCAGGGACTGAGACACGAATTCTCTGCAAGACTGGTGGCAAAGCCTATTCCAAATATGATGAAGTATCTCCCAAGTTTTTCCAAGCTGCTGATTCAGATGTTGCTAATGGCATGTTTGGAACCAGCAGGGGAAGGGTTTTGCTGCTTGGAGTGATAAGCAAAGCCAGAAATCTGCTGGGTTTGCTTTTCTTGCCTTATTTTTTTTTTCTTTTTTTTTTTCTTTACAGCAAAGTTGTGACAAAATAAAAAGCTTGATGAGGACGTGCACAAAAGGCACAGAATAGCCACCAATTTCCAAAAAGCCTCTGGGAAAAAATCACTGAGGGCTGGACAGGAATTTTGGCTGCAGGATTCTCTTCCCTTCACCCCAAGAGGTGCCAGGTACTTAAATCCTCCCAGTCTGGAGGAAAGTGGCCTAAAGAGCAGCCAGAGGATCATCACTTCTCCTCTGGGCCACGTTTTAGCTAAAGGTTGAGGGGCTCCAAGAATAAAGGTCACCCTCACTCAAGCTTTTAAGGGAATCTAGGAAAGAAAGGAAGGAGAACAGCCAACCTGGACCAGGCCAAGGTTCCCTGTCTCCTGCATGTCCAGGAAGAGATGATGAGGGAAGAGTGTGAGAACAGAATAAATATGGGATAAATATGATGTGGAGCTGCTTAAGTGAATCTAGAGGAGGCCATGCAGATGATCCAAGGGCTGGATGGAGCTCTGAAGCCAGGCTGGGACAGCTGGGGGGATTCCCCTGGAGAAGAGAAGGATCCAGGGAGACCTGAGAGCCCCTGGCAGGGCCTAAAGGGGCTCCAGGAGAGCTGGAGAGGGACTGGGGACAAGGCATGGAGGGACAGGACACAGGGAATGGCTTCCCACTGCCAGAGGGCAGGGAGAGATGGGATACTGGGAAGGAATTCCTGGCTGGGAGGGTGGGGAAGGACTGGAATGGATTCCCAGAGAAGCTGTGGCTGCCCCTGGATCCCTGGAAGTGTCCAAGGCCAGGTTGGAGCGACCTGGGCTGGTGGAAGGTGTCCCTGCCCATGGCAGGGGGTGGCACTGGATGCTCCTCAAGCTCCTTTCCAACTCAAGCCATCCTGAGATTCTGTGATGCAGATCCACCCCCGTGCCCACCCTGCAGTGCTCCTGGAGCAGTCCTGGATAGCCTCTCCCAACGTTCAGCAGAGTTCCAGCCCTGTGGAGCTTCTCAAAGGCACAAAGAAAACTGCCTTGTCTTCCCATGACGACCTTTCCACAAAACTCCATCCTGTCCTTGGCTGAGCAGTTGGCTCAGACTGTGTCCAACAGATCCCAGGATGGTTTGGGTTGGAAGGGACCTCAGAGATCATCCTGTCTCACCCCCTGCCATGGGCAGGGACACCTCCCACTGCCCCAGGTTGCTCCAAGCCCCGTCCAACCTGGTGTTGGACACCTCCAGATGGTTGTTCCCTCCACATTTAATGCCCTCTGGAAGGTGTTTGAGGAGACACTTCCCTGGCTCAGGGCAGGCTGCGAGAGGCCCCCAATCTCCAGGGCTGGTTTTCCCTCAGCACTCAGCCCAGGAGCCGTTGTTCTCCAGGCTGTTAATTCTCAGGCTCTGAGGGCTTTAACACCCTCTGCACATTCCAGGGAGTGATTCCTCTGCTGCTCTGGCTGAAACCCCCCTGCTCATCCGGACCCTGCCCCGGGGCCCTCTGTTTGCTGCTTTGCTCTGTCTGACAATCATCCCACAGTGGCTGAAAGGAGAAAACTCCAAGCTCCCCAAACATCTGGGGGTGTTCATTATGGGCTGTATCTGCACCTCTCTCTCTATAGTCACAGCTCTATTTCTAGGGATGGCAGCAAATCGACATATTTATAGTCACAGACAGATTCTTTTTTTTCTTTTTCCCCTCCTGATTCCTCCTAAATGCACAATTCCTAAACATTTCCCCTGGTTGCATCTGCTCTCCTTGGAGCCAGCCCACCATGTGCTTTCCAAACGGTGGTTGAACGCAGCTGCTGCCGGTGACGCAAAGATGTCGTTCCCCAGGGAGGGAAATAATAATAGAAAACAAATCCTCTCCCTCAAGATGACGGGTCTGTCTTAACCAAATTCCCCCGTTCTGACATCTCCTGACACATTTACTTCAAGGAAAAAAAAAGGGGGGGGGGGAATCAAAGGAAGGTTTATTAATGCCAGCGCTCTGGGGGTGAAAGGCTGGAGCCCCTCTGCGCTCTCCGTGAGGAAAGTCATCACCCAACCGAGAAAAAAAAGGTCATTATTTCTTTTATCTTTTTACTTGCAGGGCGTTTTTCAGCCCAGAAGGCCCGAGAGACCTGCAGTGGCTGCATATTTGTTGTGTCACTTGTCACTAAAATTCAGCCACCTCGCTGATACCACGCTCTGTGACAACACACAGAGGCGAGGGCTGGGCTGGCAAATACAAGATTAATAATAATATTAATAACAATAATAATAACATGTTGTTGTTGAAAAGCATTTGGTAATCAAGCTCCAGTCCCAAAGCTGAGGGAAACCTCCGTTTTTTCCAGCGTTCTTTGCGCTAGGGAAGCACCACTAACCGTCTCCTGCCCAGCTGATCTGAGCAATGGTGATGCTCTGATTTGTCTGACCATTAAATAGCACTCAGTTCACCTCTGTGAGGCTAAACCAGGAAACTGGCAAAAGGTGAATGCTGAGGATGATGGTGACTTTGGGATGGTAAAACCCCACGGCATCTTCATGGCAGAAGATGAGCAACGAGGAGGATGATTTGGGGGTGGTTTATTAAAGCAGCTCCTAAAGGAAGAGGTCACGAGGAGCAGGAATTATCCAAGTAAGAGGTTGGGAGGCAAAATGAAATCTCCTGGGCTGTGACACCTTGTCTAGACTCCCTTTGTCAGGAAGCACAGTCCAAGTCCTGTGTGCTGTGAGCACCTCAGGGGGCACAGGGGCAGTGCCTCAAACCCAGGAGAAGAGACTTTGCTTTCAGCCTCTTTTACCAGCCTGGGGGGTGGAAGGTCTCTATTTTTCCCCCTGTGCTGGTTACAGATGGTCACCTCTCTTCTTCTTTCCCCCCTTCCCCTACCAAGTCACCTTGACAAGTGCCAGTTGCCACCGTGGGAGCTTAAAAAGACAAGATGGCCTTTCCCTGGGGGAAATCTTGGACATCAGCTCAGCTGGACAGGTCACAGAATTCCAGAATACCCTGAGCTGGAAGGGACCCCCAGGGATCATCCAGTCCACCCCCATAGCCCTGCACAGACACCCCAGCAATCCCCCTCTGTCCCTCAGAGCATCATCCAAACCCTCCTGGAGCTCTGGCAGCCTTGGGGCTGTGCCCACTGCCCTGGGGAGCCTGTTCAGTGCCAACCACCCTCTGGGGGAAGAACCTTTCCCTGAGATCCAACCTGAGCCTCTCCTGACTCATTCATGCTGTTCCTCCTGTCTGCAGCAGGTGAGTCCCAACCTCAGGGCACGGCTGAGGGAAGTGGGACAGAGACCATGACCTCAGAGAGGTCAAGAAGTTGTACAACTTAGTGAAGTTCTCCCTGTGGTCAAGACACTCAGTGACTCCAACACCTGCTCCAGAACCTTCCCAGGGGCTAAACCAGTTCTTTCCACTGGATGAACTGGGAGAAGAGGAGCCCAAACTTATTCTACAAGTGAACATCACCCAACCCTGAGACTTTGCTGTTCAGTGGCAGGAGCAGAACCCGGCGTATAAAACCTTGCCTGTTCTTTGACCACAGGACACAAAGACGTGCAGGCCCTCAAATAACTTATTTCCTCCCTGAAAAGTTTCATTCATGTGTTGCTTCACTCTCGAGGGGGAAAAAAAAAAAAAAATCGACCAAAAAGCCAACCCCAAGCAGGCTGTGGTTGGGTTTCAAATGAAGAACATCCTCCCCAAGGGCCTGTGCATCATCTCCCGTCCCGCTCGTGGGCAGATCTTTATCTCCAGCTGTCTGCAAAGGGCTGCAGATCCTCACTCCCCAAGCTGTCCAAGGGGACAACTTCCAAGTGCCACCGGAGAGCCAGAGGTTTGGGTTGGATTCCTGGCTAATTCCAGGAGGGAGTGTGGGTGGGAATGTGGCTCCCTGCGACACGAGGAGGTCACATCCTCTCAGGTGGCTCCTCTGGGACGGGCTTGGCTTCACAGATTTTCAGCACTACAGAGAGGTAGGAAATTTTCTCCAGCTCCTACTTGGCCAATTACCAGAATTTGTGTAAAAATAAGGCCCAGAGTTCATTCTTTCTTCCTATTTTTTTTTTTTTTTTTCCCCAGGAACACACCAAACCCTCTCCATGGTCTTTTAGTCCCTTTTCGCCTCTGGACTGGTGACCCTGTTTCAAAACTGTGCCTACACCACTATTAGTTCAAGATCATGGAATCCCAGATTGGTTTGGGATTGAGGAAGGGATTTTAATGATCATCCAGTGCCACCCCTGCCATGGGCAGGGACACCTTCCACTGGCCCAGGTTGCTCCAACCTGGCCTTGGACACTCCCAGGGATCCAGGGGCAGCCACAGCTTCTCTGGGAAACCTGTGCCAGGGTGTCCCCACCCTCCCAGCCAGGAATTCCTCCCAATATCCCATCTAAATTTATCCTCTTTCAGTTTGAAGCCATTCCCTGTGTCCTGTCCCTCCATGCCTTGTCCCCAGTCCCTCTCCAGCTCTCCTGGAGCCCCTTTAGGCCCTGCCAGGGGCTCTCAGGTCTCCCTGGATCCTTCTCTTCTCCAGGTGAACCCCCCCCAGCTCTCCCAGCCTGGGTTTGACTGGTTTGCCTCTGGTTTGACTGACACACCCCTTACCTCTGTGTTTGGACATCCCCCACCACAGCCAGCCACGTAAACACTGGGATTTTTGATAACAACCCGGGAGCAAAATCCCGTCCTCCAGGAGGAGGAGGAGGAGGAGGAGGAGGAGCTGGAGCTCCTCAAGGGTTTGAAACGAGCCAATGCTCCTTGGGTTAGGCCTGGAGGAGGCTGGAATTCCCATGACATTCCATGCACAAAGGGAACTGCCTACCCTCTCCCTCGTCTCGTTGGTGAGGAACTTGGCACACTCGCTGTAGTTGGCCCAGGTCCTGTTGTTGCCCAGCACGAGCTCCCAGCTCCCGTTCAGGTCACACCGCCGGTAAGCGTGGCCTGTGGAGAGAGAGAGGACACGGACTCAGTGGGAAAACCCAGGAAAAACAGGAGAACAACATTCCAGGGGTGCATCCCACCGCCCCTGCCGGGTCCTGCCCGCTTGGGAGCTCAGCTGCATCTCCGCAGAAAACCTTGTCGACCTCCCAGCTGAGAAATGCCCCAGTTTAGGGTCGGATGGTGGGTCTAAAAATCGAGGGGAGAAGTTCTGAAAGGCCCCAGAGCGCAGAATCATCCTCAGAATTAACTGCAGCTGTCCCTGGGAAATAAAAAGGTGATTTGTTTGTGCTGCTCTTCCTTTACAGGCTCAGGTCATCCCCAGGGACGTTTTTCTCTGGTTACTCTCCTCGTGGTGGTGGAGGAAGAAGAGGGAGCAAGGTTTCCTCCCTGGACACAGCTGGCAGGTGGGAATATCCATGTTCAGAGGTCTGTGTGGGTATCAGGGTGATATCAGCTGTGAGTTAAAATCCCTTCACAGAAAACAGGGATGAAACCACTCAACAGACCTGTCTGTCCTGGGACTACGGAGGGAGAGCTGTTGGGAGCCCTCCAGGAAGATGGAGAGGGACTTTTACAAGGGATGGAGGGACAAGAAAACCGGGAATGGCTTCAAACTGACAGGGAGTAGGTTTAGGTTGGATATTGGGAAGGAATTGCTGGCTGGCAGGGTGGGCAGGCCCTGGCACAGGTTTCCCAGAGAAGCTGTGGCTGCCCCTGGATCCCTGGGAGTGTCCAAGGCCAGGTTGGAGCAGCCTGGGCTGGTGGAAGGTGTCCCTGCCTGATCTCTGTCAGGCTCAAAGTGGCCACAGAGTTCAAGTTTTGTGGATTTTCAAGCCTGGATTTGTTTGATGCCACAAACTCTTGTGCAGCAAGAGAAAGCCCAAGGTAAGAGTTGGACTCCGTGCTCCTTGTGGGTCCCTCCCAACCCAGCATGTTCTGGGATCCTGGGACTTAATTTGAAGGTTGTGTTTGTTGTGTTGCTATTAATTATTAATATCTAAACCAGTATATTATATAGAAGTAATAATAATATATATGACCCAAATAGATATCTAAGCAGTATTCCTTAGTGTTTAGAGGGTGACAGGCTGTGTGGGAAATGGGGGAAATCTGTCTCATGTTTCAATTAAAACCGAGCTTTGTTTTCAGCAGAAACAAGTAACAACCTTTCCTTCCCTTCCTTTCCCCTGGCTTTGCTCCTGCTTGGGAGGGAGTCAGTGTGTGAGGAGGAAGGGATGCTGAGGGTGATTCTGAGAGCTGTGAATGCCACCCACCTTTGTGGTTGAAGTCGTAGATGTACTCGGGGCACGGCATGGCCACCACCTTGCCCGGGACCCCTTCGGGCCAGCAGACGATGCCATCCCACTCAGGGAGACAAAATCCATCTGGGGGGAGAGAACAAAGACAAAGAGGAGTCACTGCACCCTGCAGGGGTGACACAGATATCCCACTGTTTGGAGGAGGCTCTCTGGGAAAAACTCTCAGTGCTACCGCTTGGTTTGAGAAACAACTGAGAAATCATTGAGAAAACAGAGAAATTACTGAGACCTGAGAGCCCCTGGCAGGGCCTAAAGGGGCTCCAGGAGAGCTGGAGAGGGACTGGGGACAAGGCATGGAGGGACAGGACACAGGGAATGGCTTGAACTGAAAGAGGATCAATTTAGGTGGGATATTGGGAAAAAAATTCTTGGCTGGGAGGGTGAGGAGGGACTAGAATGGATTTCCCAGAGAAGCTGTGGCTGTCCCATCTCTGGAAGTGTCCAAGGCCAGCTTGGATGGGGCTTGGAGCAACGTTTTGAGGTCCTCCTGAAGGGCTGCACAACCCTCAGCTCCTGCAGCTTTGAGTCCTCAGTGACCTCCTTTGCTTTGGCCTTCCTGACCTGCACCCACCTCTTCAAATCCACCTGCACTTGGGGCTGGGAATTAAAATGCTCAGAATGGGGGATCTGCCCCAACTCTGGATGTCTCCAGAGCAGCCTCTTCCCCCTGTGCTGAGTTCTTGGAGCGTCTGGCAGAGGGGAGCTCCCTGGGAATCCAAACAAACCAGCCCTGCCTGCTCTTATCCACAGGAACAAAATCAGAAGCAGGGCCAAGATCTCAGCAGGCTCCATCAACATCAAAGCTCTCCCCACCTTCCAACCCAGCAGCAGCTCATCCTGCAGCAGGAATGTGCTTTCCCAGGATCAAAGAACATCCCAGGATTGCTTTGCCTGCCTTGGAGCCCTCCAGGCTCGGAGATGACACCGAGGATTCCCTTTTCTGGGAATTTAGGAGGTGAAAAACCACGGGAAAACTCGTGGGCAAACAGCTGATTTCTTCTTATCTTTGAATGAATGTGGGTGGAAAGGAGCAGGTTAATCCCTGCCTGCCTTCTAAAAGCACCAGCTGGGAGCGAGGGGAGATAAAAGAGAAGTAGAAATAAAAATTTCCTGCCTTTTCCCTGCTCTCAGTTGCAGTGGGAGAAGAATAATATTCCATTCCCTATCCATGACAAGAGGGAAAGCCCTTCCCTTTGCCTCGTTGTGTTGCAGGACAACTTAGAGCGTGCAAAGGAGTTTATTTGTTTTGCAGTTCTCTGGAAGGTTCAAAAGAAAAAGGAGGGGGGAAAAAAAAACAACAAACAAACACCCAACCAACCAACCAAACCCGCAGTGCCTCACAAAATTTGGTTTAGGAGGAAATGTTATTGTTTTTGAGGTCTTTTTTTTGCAGACAAGAAAGTAAACAGAGATTTAATTTAGGCCTCGGTGTGGTCTTTGCTGAAAATAAACCCGATTCTTTCGGACAAAATAAATAAATCGAGGGAAGCTTTGAAACGAGCACCGAGGGGAAGAAATATTGGTCCCAACGTTGTGCTCTGAAAGGCTGAGAGGAAAAACCTCCAAATTCTTCAGAACAAAACTTGCAGAGCTCAATTTTCACTTGTGAGTGGTTTCTTTTGGGATCAGACTGAAATATTTGGGCAGAAAGGAGCAGTGGGGGGGAATTATAGAGGGGGTGTGTCCTCCTCCTGATGGAAAACTGAGGCCTTGGGAAGAACTGAATATGAAATGATTTATTTTTGGGGCACTTTGAGCCCCAAAATCCCCTCCAAAAGCTGAGGGTTGAAGGTTCTGAGTGGGAAACAGGGTGCAATCCGTGATGGGACTCCTCTGGAATGGGGATGATTTGGGAAGCACTAGAAATATTTAAAAAAAAAATGATCTCTGCTGCCTCTCACACCATCTGAAATATTCCTGGGTCTCTCTATGATCCCAGATTTCAGCCAAATTTGGAGGAGGATGGTTTTAAGCTGCAAGAGGCTTGATCCTGATTTAAGAGTACAAGGATTACATTTTTCCAGGGAGGCACTGGAATGGATTTCCCATCCCAGAGAAGCTGTGGCTGCCCCTGGATCCCTGGAGTTGTCCAAGGGCAGGTTGGAGCAACCTGTGCTGGTGGAAGGTGTCCCTGCCCATGGCAGGGGGTGGGATGAAATCATCTTTAATGTCCCTTCCAACCCAGGGCCACTCTGATAAAACAGGAAGGAAAAATACCATATATTCCATGGGTATGGAGCTGGAATCCAAACAAGACATTTCTTTCTGTTTGTTTGCCCAAGTATTTCCTCCAAACCTTCTTTTTTTTCCCCCCCTTAGTTTATAAAAATATTAACAGCATTAACAACTTGGCTTCTCTCTGCTGTTTCCCTTTTCTCCCAAACATTTCTCCAAAGGGATCCAAACTGAATCCCAAGAAGAAATCTGAACAGCTTCAGAAAAACCCTAAAAATAGCCCCAAGCCAACAATTTTCCCCCGATGGCTCCACTTCAAAATAAATAGAAAATCAATTTTTACAAGCTTTTTTTAATAAGTTGTCACAGGGAGGGAGAAAAAAAAAAACAATCCACCACCTGCAAGCAGAGCATTTTTGGCACATTAAAAACAAACCAGTCACTCCTGAGACCCCAGAAACAATATTTGAAGCCCAAATAGCCAGAAAGGATCCAATTAATTATAAATTGCTCTTGAAAAGCTGTTGAAATTAGATTTTTGGGGGGGGGAGGGAGGGTGTGAAAAATAGTTGGAGGGTTAAAATGTGCTGTTTGGATGCAGGTGGGAATGTTCAGGACACGAAGTCACCTGTTCAGGGCAGTCCTAAAAATGGGTTTAGGGAGGTCTGGGGTGTTCAGGACGATCCTCATTGTAGGTTTAGGTAGGTTTGGGGTGTTCAGAGCAGTCCTAAATCTGGGTTTAGGGAGGTCTGGGGTTGTTGTCTGATTGTTCAGGACAATCCTGAGTCCACTGGATGATTTGCCTCCCTAAATTCCTGAGGCACCTGAGGCTTCTCAGCCTCTGAGGAGATGCTGGATGATCAGGGGGTGGACACAGAACCCCTGGAGAGAAAAGCAGGAGCAGATCATGGGGTTCTGCAAGCCCAGGGAGAGCCTGGGACTGGCTCTAGGTCCTTTAGGGACAATGGAGCCAGACTGAGATGCTCATTTTTGGGTAAATACACACAAATCTCCACCTAAAAATAACGCCTTTGCCTCGCAAATAAGCTCATTTATGAAAAACCCCAAGCCAGTCTGAGGCAAAAACTGCAACACCTCCAGCTCAGAGCAGGGACTGGGCCTGTGTAAAAAAAAAAAATAAATAAAAAAATCCCTCTCTCTTCCCCCACAAAATGTCCCATCTCCTTTTCCAAACCAGGGAGAGACAAGCTTTTAATTCATGGGTGTAAAAAAAAAACACCAAAAAAAAACCCAACAACAACAAAACCCAACAAACCCAAGCTCCCCCCACCTCCCCCTCAGGTCTTGCTGGTTTAGGGCTGGGACTTTCACTTCATCCCCTTCCAGCTGCAGCTTTGGGGTGGCATCAGCCTGCCCACACCCTGGCTGAAATGCAATATTTGCCTACAGAGAGGAGGCATTTTCGGGTTTCCTGTGCTTTCCAAAAGGCTTGAGTCTGGAGGCTAAATTTAAGGGAGAAAAAAAGGTTGGGGTGGGGGGGAGAGAAAAGAAGGAAAGCGAATGCTGGTGGAGGGAGGAGGCTGGGACACTCCTGGGGGCAAAGAATCCGTGGGATCCCTCCCAGAGGGAGAAGAGGAAGCACAACCTCCACTGAACTACCATAAAGCTACAAGTTCACGCTTTTTGAGAGGGGAAAAAAAAAAAGAAAAAAAAAAAAAGGAATGTGGGGTTTTTACACGTAAAAAGTGGGTCATTATTGCTGAAAAAAATTTGGATTTTATGATTTTTTTAAAATTTTTTTTTTTTTTACCTTTTTCTTTGCTGGGACTTTCCTTTGTGCTATGAACCCCTGCCATGTTCCCACTACCTAGAAATTCTCAGCTCAATCTACTGTTCCCCCTCGTGTTCTTTAGTCCCTGATTCAAGACTTAGACATGTCTAATTCAATTAAATAAATAAATTCCGTTAGATCAATAAATTCCATTAGATCAATAAATTCCATTAGATCAGTAAATTCAATTAGATTAATGAATTCAATTAGGTGATGAAATCACAGGTGATTTCCCTCCCCTGAACAAGATATTGCTGAGCTGTGGCAGCAAACATTTGAATACTGTCACATTCCAGGACATTTCCAATGGAAATTAAACCTACAAAAGCCACTGAACGTTCCTTCCAACCTCTGGAATTCTCCTTCCATCGATCCCCTCCCTCTGGTCTCTCTTTCCTTTTGTCTCCACTATCCAGTTCAAATTTGAGGGCCATTTCTCATTTTCCCTTTGGCCCCAAGGTGGGGCCAGGAGGGGCCAAACTCGGGAGGGAGAAGAACAAAACCCCCCCATCAGCCACCTGGAAAGGAAAAGGACAATTCCAAGGCCTTCCTGCTTCCAGAGGGTGGTGGAATGTGACTCGAGGTCCTGGGAAGAGCTCTTGGATGCTCATGTGAGATCACATTTCCCACTCCAAGAGTCACTTTTGGGCTGTGTCTCCCTCCCAAATCCAGGTCTGTGCTGGAAGGATGACACAAAGAATCCCTCTCCTTAAAAAAAAAAAAAAAAAAATCTCATTTCCCCTCTTAGTTCCATTTACATCCTGGGATTGCCCAGTAAATCCACCTGGGACGGAGCTGCAAGGGGAGAGAGGGAACAGCAGATTCCAAAAATCAAGGTGCTGATCCAGGCTTCCTGTCATCCCCTAAGACTCCTGGAGAGCTCTGAAATCTGCATTTTCCCCCTTGTTAAAATGGCAGTGAAATGAATATTGAAGGGAGAAGGAAGCTGGAGAAATCCATGAATCCCTGACAAATCAATGGCCTGATATGGAGGTGTCCCAAATCCCCCCCTCTGCTTCCAAAACCACCCAGCAGGGACATGGAGTAGATAAATCACCGACTGCACCTGCAGCCACAGCCAGGCAGAGGCAGGACCCATTCCAGGTGGGAATTCCTGGATCAAGGGCAAGGATTAAGCACTAAGTGGGCACACACAGCCCCTGATGTGGAGTGGGAGCAAGGAGAGAAGGCAATGGTAGATCAATCAGCTGGGATTTTCCAGAGCTCAGCAGGTACTGCTTGACCTGGCACCGACACCTTCCCTTCCTGGCCCTGCCCCTTTCCTGGGGTGTCTCCCTGGGTTTTGTGACAAAGCAGATCAGGGAGCTGATCCAGCTGGAGAACAAAGCTCCTCCAAAAAGGTTCTTCCCCAGGGCAATCCACTCTGCCAAGCCTCGGGTGCTAAAGGGGATCCAAAACAGCAAAGGGGTTGGTGACAACAGAGCTGGGCTCTGGGATGGTTTGTGGTGGTGGAGCCACATCCCTGGAGGTGTCCAGGGAATGACTGGACTGGGGGGACAAGGTGGGGGTGGGACACAGGGTGGACTGGATGGGCTGGGAGGGCTTTTCCAACCTCAATAATCCAGTGATTCCATGAGTGTTGTTCCCCAGAAGGCTCCTTGGAGAACCAGATCTGTCTGCACAAGGGCACCCCCCCAATTCCTCATGGCTTAGGGAGCATCCCTGGTACCCACAGCCATGGATTCACCTCCCAAATTCCTCTTCTCACTCCACCCACAAGCTGGAGCACTGCAGGTTCAGGGATGTGTGAAAGTGCTCCACCTGCTGCAGAGTTGGCTCCAGTATCTGGTGCAAAGCAGCTCCAAACCAGCTGTGGGGTCAAAGGCTCCTTTCCTGTGACCCTTGTGGTCAGGAGTTTCCCTGCAGGGACGTCACTCCCAAAGCCACTCCTTGCTGAGCCGGGTCAGGGAATTTAAGCCCTCAGGACCTCCCCAAAGCTGCTGCTTCCTCGTCCTGGCCTTTTTCCTTCCTTGGAATGACAAACCAAGTGGAGATCTGGGCCCAGGGGACAACTGGAAACCACCCCCAGGACTGACATTGCTGCAGGTCACAACCACTCTGCCCCCAGCATCTCCAGTGTGAAGATGATGTTGCCCTTCCCAGGCTTTTTTTTTTTCTTGAGGTCTGGATTGAGGGAAGAGGGAAAGGGATGAGCTCCTCCATCTGACAGCCCCAGCTGTCCTTGGGTGATCAGCAGAACAGGCACCAGGCCCCAGTTTCTGCACCATCCAAGGAGGAAAGGACTGGACAAGCCACTTTGCTCGTGCCCAGGGGCATCTGTGACCTAAAAATGTGGGAATGGCGGCTCTTCTGCAGAGTGGGAAGAACTTTTCTAAACCAAAAATCCTTCTGCTGTGCCCACAAACTCCTCAGACCATCCCAGAGAACGTCTGGCAACTCCCTGGCCTTGTCTGTGAAGCGGCAGCAGGAATTTCTGGGGTGTTCCAGCCTGAGGGAGGGTTCCCTGGGGAAGGTTCAATCAGAAACCATTCTGCCTTGGGGATCTTGCAGATTAATTTGATCTAATTACCTACTTCAACGCTTATAAGTTTTTGTGCCATCATCTTCCTGCCGAGAGTGATGACATCAGGGTGACTGCTCCTCTGGGATGGAGAGTTTGGGTCTGGGCAGGGATTTGCTGCAGAGGATGGACCCTGAGCCCGAGGTTTAATCAAACCCCTGCCACTGGATCCTTTGCTCTCCCTGGGAAAGAGCCCAAAATCTGGCTGTCAGTCACGTCCAGCTCCCCATCCCTCCCCTGACAGTTCGGGAGGGCTCAACACTAAGTGCAGGGAGGAGTTGGAGCAGCTGGTGTCCCTCTGATGTCCCCAGCCCCCAGGGTGGGCAGGTGGGCCGGGGACAACAGCAGGAAATGCCTCTGCGCGCGCGCTTTTAATGAGGTGTTAATTGGGCAGCGGCTGAGCGGGACAAAGCGGCGGAGGAGGATGTGGCTTGAGGTTTTGGCTGCTGGGAAGCGGGAGGCTTGGAATCCGATGAAAGTTGGGATTTTGGGGCCCCTTCGCTGCCGTGTCCTAAGGCAGAGGGACACCAGGTCGGGCAGGCAATTCAGGGATGGATTTGGGGGATTCTGGTTTGTCCCCTCGTCTCGGGAAACGGAGGGAGAGGGGCCAGGAGCCCACCCAGGACCGGCTGCGTGGGGTGGGGTGGCCCAGCTGAGCCCCGGTGCCACTCATTAACACAGCCAGGCTGATGAGAGGAGCCCACGGGGGGGTGATTAAGTGGGGCTGCCCACATGAGAGAGCTGCTCCTGCCTCCTCCCCAGCCCCGCAGCTGCGAGCGCTTCCACTGCCCAAAATAGAAAGGGAGGGGGAGAAAGAGGCTGAGCTGAGCTTGGACCCTTCTGAGAGGAACAGAGACCGAGTTTGGCAGAGGGAAATGGAGAAGGGCTGTCCGGGGGAGGCTTTTCTGTACCCCTGGGGGCTCCTTGTGAAGGATCTTTGGAATTTGGAGTCCAGAGGAGGCCCCGGAGCTGCTCCCAGGGCTGGATCCCTCTGCTCTGGAGCCAGGCTGGGACAGCTGGGGGGGTTCACCTGGAGAAGAGAAGGATCCAGGGAGACCTGAGAGCCCCTGGCAGGGCCTAAAGGGGCTCCAGGAGAGCTGGAGAGGGACTGGGGACAAGGCATGGAGGGACAGGACACAGGGGATGGCTTGAACTGAAAGAGGATCAATTTAGATGGGATATTGGGAAGGAATTCCTGGCTGGGAGGGTGGGGAGGGACTGGAATGGATTTCCCAGAGAAGCTGTGGCTGCCCCTGGATCCCTGGAAGTGTCCAAGGCCAGGTTGGAGCACCCTGGGCTAGTGGAAGGTGGGACTGGATGATCCTCAAGGTCCCTTCCCACCCAAACCACTCCAGGATTCCCCAATCTTGCCAGAGCTGATGGTGCTGTTCCCTCCCATGCATTGCTTGGGCTTTGGGTACAAATCCCACGACTTCTGCACCCTCCCGACCCTTTGGCATTTGGAATTCTGTTGCAGAAGAACAAGTCTGTGACAGCTTTGCTTCCCAGCACCTTGTGCTGAAGGATCTTCCCCAAACCCAATATTTTGGGGTTCTTCAGCTCCTGAGCTCCACATGGAGCTGAGGGAAGGGCTGGAATGGGCACGGAGAGGCCCAAACATGGAATTCTGGGGTGCTCTGGGGACACTCACCGTGCACCTTGGGCACCTTGGCTTTCAGGTGGCGCTCACACTTGGCCTTGGCTTTCAGCAGGAGGAAGATCTGCTCCTCCTTGGTGATGACATCGTCAGCATCCACCTGCAGGGAGGGGGGAGAGAGGGGTCAGAGCTCAGCAGGACACAATTAATACCTTGGCCTGAGGGCAAAACGTCCTCTGCACCCACAGCTTCCTCACCAGCCCTGCCCCCCTGGCTCCCAATTTCCCCTGCAATGGGTTTCCCAAGCGACACTTCCCACAGGACACCACGTGGAATCATCCACATCCCTGGCAAAGGGGCAGCTGCTCCCATCACACACACACACACAGAAGGAGCAACTTCAGAGCTGAGTGCCCCAGTTCCTGGGGATTTCCCATTTCCTGGGAAAAAAAGATCCCAGGAAATGATACTGGACCAGGAATTTCAACCTGCCATCATCATCATCATCATCATCATCCCAGTGCAAATTCCACCTCCTCCTGGAGACCTTCAGGCTCTGTAGAATTCCTTCCTCCATCCAAGAACACAGAGGGGGCTGTGAGGTCACGCCATCCCAAAAAACTCAGGGAAAAGCTCATCCTGAGAAGATTTGATTGCTCCTCCTCTGAGGTCTCCCAGAACAAGGAGAAGGGAGGCAGGGATGGTGTTTCCCCCCCCCTCGCTGATAAACAGTGACACTCAACCCTCAAAGGCCATCAATGACACGGCCTTGCTTCCTGAAGCTGGAATGTTCCTGTCAGGAATGGCTGGCCCTGGGAAATCTGGGATGCAGCCACGGGAAAAGCTGCTTCTGGGAGCGCTTTGGTTGTTCCAGAGCTTTGCTCTCCTGAGATCTTCTGCTGGAATGTTCTGCTGGGGACCCTCTGGGGTCCTAAACTTGTGTGTCCTGCTCACACATCCAGGCCCTGGGAAGGACTTTTCCCCCAGCTCAGTTTGGCAGGAGCAGGTGGGAATTCCACTGGACGCATCCCAGGGATTCTGGGACGATTGGGCTTTTTGTTCTTTCCTGCTTTTCTTCCCCCCTCAAAAAAAAACCCCTGAGGAGCCACCTGGGAGGGCTCCTGGTGAGGAAGCAGCCTGAGATAATGGAGGGATTTGGTAAATTGGGATAAATTGGGCTCAGCTCCAGCTTCACAGCTCTCCCATTCCCTGTTGGACATTTAAAAACCCACCCAAAACAACTCCAAGTTCTCTCCTCCCCCCCCCCCAAAAAAAAAAAAAACCCCAAAAACTAGTTTGAATGGGAAAAGTATATTTAAGGCAGGTCTTTTCTTGGACAAAGAGGCTGAAACAGGGATTTAAACACATATATAAGTAAACCCAGAGATTTTTAATACATCCTGCCACTGGAAAACACCCATTCCCAAGAGATTTGTTCAGGAAAGTTAATCAGTGGGGAATAACTGGCATTAAATACCCAGGGCTGAATAACTCCCTCCTGTCCCAACCCTCTTTTCCAGCCCCTGCTGAGGAATTTCAGTGCATCAGCCTGGCTGAGTGACCCCCAGGGACTGAAAATTGGGAATCATAACCAGGCTGAGTGACCCCCAGGGACTGAAAATTGGGAATCACAACCAGGCTGAGTGACCCCCAGGGACTGAAAATTGGGAATTACAAAGTTTTCCAGCTGCTGGAGAAATTTTAAGTGTTCAGTACCACATTTTCCCCATTTTTCCTCTGGTTTTCAGGCCAATCTGCCCCAGCTCACCTTTCCCCCTTAGCTGTCAGAGGTTAAGAGGAATCCCCAGGATTATTTTTCCTTGGGACACGGAGCCTTCACCACCTGAGACAAGTTTGGCTCTGGCTTGGCAGAGCCTTGGCTTGGACAAACAAACAATCTCACCACCTGATCCCTCAGCTGAAGCCATTAGCACTGCTGTGTGCCAGCTTTTTAGACAATTTAATTCATTATTAAATTAGCAAATCCATCAGCAGCTGTTAGAAACTGCAGCCTGGATGCAAAATTCCTGGATGCAGGAATGCTTTAAACTGCTGATGGCCAAAAACTGGAAGGTACCAACCACTTGTGGTGTCTTTCTCCCTAAACTGGGGATGGTCTAGAGCAGAAAATTGACCAAAAAAGCCTATTTTCACACATATATCCATGAATTTTCTATTTTTCTAAGGCACAGAAACCTCGTGCTCTGCTGAGAATCCAAGAAAACCCCATTTCAGTTCAGAGTTTGGTCCAATTTAACACCTTCAGCACCACCCACTCTGTGGGTCCTGCTGTCCAGGACCATAAAAAGGAGATAAATGGTGCTCAAAGTGCTTCACCCGAGTGAAAACCGCACCCAAAACCTCCCCAAGATCTGCACATTCAACACTCCACTCATCTTTTCGCAGGGTCTGTGAGCCCCCACGTCCCAACCCAAAATCTCTTACCCTGCAGACAACAAAAAAGACTAAAACCAGGTGTTTTACCAACATAATTCCTGCCCTGGTGACCAGCTGGGAACACCCAGGATGAGATTTGCCAACCTGAGCTGTTCACTCCTCTCCTAATCCCTGAGGATTTAACTGCACAGAGCAGCTGGAATTCACTCCATCCCCAACCACCACCTGAAATCAATTAATCAATTGGATCAACTGGGCAGTTTGTGGGGTTTTTTTTTCCTCCAGCCCTTTTTTTTTTTGCCTTAATTGGCCACCCTTGGAGCCCTGAGAGGATCTGGGGAGTTTTGGGGCAGTTTTTGCTGCCAGGAGCGAGAGAAGTCTCAGAGGGAGCTCAGAACTGGTGTCCCACCCAGGGACATCTCCCCGAGCCAGGGTTTGGGGGGAAGGGGTTGAGGTTAAAATCCCAGCAGGATTTTAATCCCTCTAAAAGCACTGCTGGCAAATCCCTTCAGATGGGACTTCCCTCGGTTTCTTCTGCAGAAATTCCCGCCCTGAGTTCCTTGGAATCCAATTATCCCAGGGCTGAATTTCCCTCGGGGGTGTTCAGGTGAATTCAGGACAGTTTGGCCTCTCCTCTTGCCTTCCCAGACCTTCCAGGTGCAGCTGGAAGGGTTGGAAACTCCTCCCTGGGCTCCCCAGCTTTGGGATCAAACCCCATCTGCTCCTCTCTCCTGGTGTTCATCCCTCCTCAGCTTCCCTGGTCCTTTTTCTGCCAGAAGAATAAAATTCCTGGTGGGGAGGAGGTGTAGGAATGTTGTTTTTTTTTATCCCTCTCCTCGCTCAGAGAAAGCAGAAACAGCCAAGCAGGGCAGGGGGACACAACAACATTATCCAGAGGCTGATAAATCACTTTTGGTTCATTTTTTTTCTCCCCTTTCCCCTCATTTTTTCCCCCCTTTTTCCTTTCCTGTGACCCCCCAGGAGGCTGAGGGGTGGGATGATGATGTTCTCTGGTATTTCCATGTCACTGGCTGATGGTCCAGGCACTGAAGCCAACCCCAGATCTCCCAGGGGAGGTCCCATTTTCGGAGCTAACACTGTCCTTTCTGTGAGCTTGCCCTGGCAGCTGCTCCAAGAGCTGCTCCCAGAGCTGCTCCAGGCAAACTGGATTCCTTGGGAGAGCATCAGGGGGGCACTGGAAATTCCAAGGCAAGGGAAAGGCTGGTGATCACCTTCTTGGAGAGCAGGAATCGCTGCTGGGAAGTGGGAAGAGGGTGCAGGAAGGAGGGGGCTCAGGAGAGGAAAAAAGAAATATGAAAATTTCACAAATCTAGAAAATGGTTTGGGTTGGAAGGGACATTAAAGATCACCCAGTGCCACCCCCTGCCATGGGCAGGGACACCTTCCACCAGCCCAGGTTGCTCCAGCCTGGCCTTGGACACTGCCAGGACTGCTGAAATGTCTGATTGAAACACCAAACCAAGCAATTTAAGGTCACAAACCAAGTTCCTGTTCTGCACCAGACTCTGCAGTTGAGCACCAGGGGCAGAAATTGGAGCTTCGTTCCAGCCCTGCTGATGGAACAGCCCCTGCCTGAACCCTGTAAGGGCTGGGATGGGTCTGAATTAAGAGATTAATCTAATCAAGAACCTAAAGGGGTCCTAAAAGCAGGCTGGAGGGGACTTTCCACGAGGACATCAAGTGATAGGACGGGGGGGGATGGCTCTGAGCTGCTGGGGGGTGACTTGGATGGGAGATTGGGAAGAAATTCTTCCCTGGGAGGGTGGGGAGGGACTGGGATGGATTTCCCAGAGAAACTGTGGCTGCCCCTGGATCCCTGGGAGTGTCCAAGGCCAGGTTGGAGCAACCTGGCAGAGCTGGCCCCGTCGGGAGCTCCTGGAGATGTGGAATTGCTCCGAGGGCAGGAGAAGATCCAGGGTGGAGGTGGTTGGGAGCACGAGGCACTGCATGAGGTTGGTCAGCAGTGAGGTGGCAGCGTGGGATGGTGCAGGATGGAGATCCCTGAGCCCTGTTTTTTAGGGATGGAGTTGCCTTCCTTCAGCTGAGGGGTTGTTGGGGGATGGGTATTCAGGTGGTCTCTGTTTTCCTGCACTCCTGCAAGGGATGGTTTGGGCAAGCCCTGCCTCTCCTGACCCTCCCTGCTGGTCCCCTCAGGTCCAGATGGACCCTGGCAAGGGATGGAAGGAGCAGGGATTTGTTCTGTGCTGGCCTGGACGGGATGTACCCTGGGCAGTGCCTGTTCTGGAGCACAGCAGGGTCTGTCCAACCTCCACTCCTCTGGGATTAACTGTGCCCTGGACAGGACAAAGCCAGGTTTGCTTGGGATCTGCATCCTTTGCTTTTTCATTTTTTTGGCCTGTGCAGCCACTCAGGGTTCCCTGGCAGGTGAAAACCCGAGCTGGGCTCAGGAGGACACCCTGACCCCACCACTTGATCTGCAGGCTGGAATTTCCCCACCAAACACATCCCTCATTCCCTAAAAGCTGCTCTGAACTTGTGTTGGGACTGGGGGGGACTTAGAACTCCATATTTCTGCCCTAAAGCCTCTCCCTCTTGGAGAGACAGAGCAGAGTAAATACAGATAAATAAATAATGTTTATTTCCCCTCTAATTTGGGCAGTGCTGGATTTTCTCAGTGCTCAAATAATCTGATTCCCTTCCTTAATTCACTGCTACCTCTGTGCTGGTTGCCTCTGTCTGCCTGCAGTGCCTTTGGCACGAAAACAGACAAAAAAACACCAC